TTGTTCTCAATGATAGGCCATGTATTATGAGTGCTCAAACAAAACACCAGAGACAAACACAGTGTCTACCAACCCTCTGAGGTAGCAGCAAATCTTTTGCAAGGAACCCTGGAGTGTGGAACTCTTGGTCATAGTCTCCATACTGAAACAAAACAAGTAGTGAGCCAGGAACAGTAAATATGGGAATGTAACATTGCTGTTGATTATCTATTTAAATTGCTCAAGTAAGTAGCAGTTTTGGCTAGCCTGTGCCAAGCTTTAAGATAAGGTTGTCACAGTGATTTCACATTCAAACAGTAAGGAGAATTTTTTGTAATGACCTAAAAGTCCACCACTCAGTGGATTTAATATTAATAATAAAAAATTTTAGCAGGATGATCTTTTGAACATGCAGAGCACACAAGGATATGATTGTTAGAATTCAATTTCTATTCCTGCCTAGCCTGCATAGCCGGTGGTTTAGTTGGGGTAGAACGCACAAGCTAGCAGCGAGAGCAGCAATGCGGCGAGGAGCCTGGTGGTAAAAACGAAAAACTGCCTGCCCAGATTCCCTGCCTTTTTTACTAGTCCTGTATGCTGGAGTACAGGTTGTTCTCATTGGATCTGAACATTAACAAGTCAATCAAATGTTTTGTTAATTTCCCAGGGGAGAACTCCAAGGGACAACGCAAATCTTAGCATGAAAAGCAAAAGCATCGAGCCTGAATATTTGGTAGCTAATATTCTTCGCAAAGACGGTGATATAGTTCTAAATCAATCTAAAGCATGAGCAACAAACGGCAAAAAATAATTTGTTTTGTGAAATTGTGTCAGTCGTCGTCGACTTTGTTCATGGTGACTTCATTCTCTTTCCAGCTCCATATTCGCACGAATGAAATTGTAACGCTAAAATGGGTTCTGTAATTTTCTTCCACTGGTATTGCAAACACAGAAACGTGCCTGATGTGTCAACTTTCAGACCAATCTTTGAGTGCTCAGGGCACTAACGCCACCCACTCTCATTTTGAAATCCTTTCCACTTGAAAACCTTGAAAAGGTTTTGGGTCATAGTATAAGATGTCTTCTAAAATTTCCCGCATTAAATCTTTAGTGGACTTGTGCCTTGAATTGTGAAACCCTTGTTGTTTTTCATTTCCCTTCCTCGACAGGCTTTTCAGCATATCACCCTTCACCACCAATGAAATTTGGTTTGATTTCCCAATTTGACTTTCAAGCAGCTTCCCCTTCTCATTCCTGCAACGCATACAAAACCTGTCAACAGGATAGTCAAAATGTGCAGAGGGGCAGCAATCAAAAAGGCAGCAAATCTGGGCAGGCAGTTTTTTTCATTTTTCCTTCCAGGCCACTCCCAGCTTCACCGTTCGTTTTTGTGGATCACCCTCTATACGGTCCTATACTCCAACCAACTAAATCACCAGCTACACAGGCTAATTCCTGCCTGCATGTTGATATCATTGACACATTAAGCCTGTTGTAAAGGTAGATCATAATATTATTATGGTTAAGGCTATGCCTCTAAGGACGCATAACTATATTGAACGGTGGTAATATGAACACCTTAGCTTGCACTGCGTATGAAGCCAAAAGAACAGAAGCCTCTGGTGGACAGAAGATGTCCATGCTCAGAATAGCCTCCTTAACTTGCAAGAAAAATAAGTGTTGTGTTATTTCTTGCATCAGTTCCTCTGCTACATCCTCTGGGAAAAACTTGATGCGGAAATTAAGGCTGACTGGCTCATCCTTTGGAATTGGAAGATCTTGACCTAAAACCTTAAAAATAAAGATCTGGATTACTGAGTATCCTGATTAAAGAGGGTACAAGAGAGTTAACTGTGTCCTAATGACAAGTGTATAATAACATATGACAGTTGCAAAAGTTAAGGGTATTTAATATGTGCCTACAACAGAGAACTAATAATAGTCAAGGAACCAATTGGAAAGTAAAGTTGTCAACAATGACATTACGAGTTACAAAAATTATTTTACATACACAGTGAGCTAGTATTTATATTATAAGATTACAAAAAAGTCGTCAAAAAAGCCAAGTTCAGATTAAGTTCTCACTACATAATTTATCAACCTTTAACTTTGCTGAATCTATCTGATTAAAATAAGACAGCTAAATACAGGTAGACTTCATAACTCATTTAGCACAGAAATGGAAGGGCGTGCGTGAAACAAATCAAAAAATTAAAAATACAATGAAAGGTAAACATTAGCGCCAAACACCTGCTGACACTTCAGCCATTTTGCGACAATCATGCTATCTAAATCAAATTTTATACACGTTAAGCTTTTGTCCTGATCTCACCACAGTTACTTGGTTCAAGGTGCTGACATTTTCCCCTAATTTCACTCGCGTTTGCTTTCTACCACTTTAAATCACCGATCGACGCAGCACACGGCTGTGCGTGGAATTGAGAATCAATCAGTTTGAGTCAAATTTAATTGAGGGAACGACTTTAATTAATAAATGGACCTTATCAGAAAATTTGAAAACAGTTTATAAATATGTTCGGCAAGGCGAAACTGAAACACGGCATCTGCAACTCTAATGCCCGCACGGGAACGCGGTAAACGACAACTGAGAAATGGTTCGTGAGCAATGGAGAAAATTAACGTAAGCTGCTGCCCGTATGCTTAAAATTACTTGTGTCTGGAATACCCAAAATTGATCTGAAAATTCCGTTAATTCTTCACATTTTCAATCGATTATTTACCAAAAATACCTTGATTCTTTCCATACCTTCTTGTTGAATTTTAGCCATGTGAAGACACCTTTCTTGTCTACAAACTGCAAGCCAAAATACCACGTTTCCCGGACGCCCAAGGTTCGCACAACAAGATCAAAAAGATCTTTTCCCGTGCAGCTCTTCTGCATGAAATTTAACAAGAGGGGCATTTATTGACAGAGTAACAGCTTCAACCGAGAACAGAGTAAACTAAGATCTAATAGATCTCAAGCAATCATCAAAATTTAGTAAACTTTTCAACTTAGTTTACCTCCACTGAGAACTCCAACTCCGCATCGAGTGTCGTAATGCGAACGTCGTGTGTCTTCGGCATATTTTCGCACCATTTGGCAAGGTTTTGACAAAGCACCAATTCTACTAGACTAATCTTGGCGATCTACATCTCAGGAAGGTTTTTTTTCGATACAAATGGATGCTTGCTATGTACAGAATTTTGACGTGGCTACCATAAACATCCGTTTCACTTCTAAGAGCTACCGCTGACCTAAAACTCCCCATTCATGTAGGAAGCATAAACTGTCTCCTCTCGAAGCAGGAGGAAGTGTAGAAGGGCCAGGGCTTAGGGGAAATTCGATCATGAAGCACAAGAAAGAGCACTGATCGAGGGCCATTGCAGGCACAAGGATGGAGCGCCTGGGGTGGGGGGTGGAGATATTCCCTTATATGAGCTAAATAGGTATGGGCAGCCCCAAAGAGTATGGTTTTTTTAGCAGAAATTTTGGTTTGAAAATGGGCATAGATTTTGACCAATTTGGTCTGAAATGGTGTGTGTTTTTCATGACCATAAACCTTTTGATTTAAATACGCTTTTACCTCATGTTAATCAAAACTCCTTCAAATCATGGCTAAATTCATCCTGAGGTGTGGCTATATTTTATGAATCAACACCCCTTCATACTCCTTGTGCAAAGTACTAGTTATCTCTTGATTCTTCTCTGTTTTACTATCCAATCAGATTTCAGTAAATATCAAGGCTGTCTATAGCTTGTTATTCTTGACATGTGGCCTATGAGGGTGAGAATGCTTACGAAGCCATCAGCATTCTTGTGTCACTGGCAAAGTCAAGCTTTTTAAATGAGTACATCGTCAGACGTCTTAGACAGCATTCCTCAGTTTATCCCTTCTTTTCAGTTGCTAATAGAAGCTGGCACACTTAGAAATACTTTATAGAGTTCTAAATATTTAAAAATTTAAACATTTCACTTCATTAGGGCTTATGACAGCATATGTCAAGAAGTTTACTATGGAAACAAATGGAAACAAGAACCAATCAAAATGTGAACCAAACGACATTGTAACTGCACAGACAGATACTGGAAAACCCACATACAGTGCTGAGTAAATGCAAGAAAGCCTAGTCAAAATTTAATTTAACTTTTTATCCCTTCTCTGTTAGTCCATGGCGTGATTTTTCTTCAAAATAAATGGCCTGCAGTGCAGGCAAACATTTGGAACTGAACGCTCAATAAACCAGGTTTTCAATGCTGCCATCTTGGATTGTAATTGTATGTTTGACTGGTAGAGGGTTGGGGCAGAGAGTGGGAGGGAGGTATTTTTTCCTTCCCCTCCCACTCCCCCATTAACCATTTTTTTCACTTCATGCCCACTCACTCGGCAAGTTTTCCCTTGCCCTTGAACCCTCAACAGTTACCAAATCCAAGAAGGCAGCCAAATATAAAATTGTACACTCATACACCTAAAATATGCATGCATTGCAGGCTACAAAATAAATTGTGTACTAAACTTTTGCTATCTTTACAGTAACCATGGAACAAAAATTTTATAAATTTTTCCTACTTAACTACATGTGTGTCTATAAGTATTACTTTAGTAGAGAAATTAGTGTTACATCAAAGCTATTAATGTTAAAAGTTTATCAATGCTGAGAATTCAATAAAAACAACGATAGGTGCTAGAGTTTACTGTGGCAATTCTTCTTCAGTGCATGCCTCAAAGAAGAATAGCCAAATCAAAGAACTTCAAATTCTCAAAACCTCCAAGCGCATATTAGTAGAACATAACTTACAAGATCAATTAATTATTGTATTCTATCTGTTCTCCCTAAATTTTAACTAAGATGTGAAAGTAGGGACAAGTCGGGCAATTGAACGCCGACATACTGGGCAGTTGTTTACTCTGTGAGCACACTCTACACAACAACAGAAATGTCCACACTCTAAAATAACAACATTACGTTGTCTGTCCATACAAATGACACATGCTTCCTGTTGATCCAAGACTTCTCCTTCATCCAGAACGTTCACCTCTGTTCGCATTCTCCTTATGAATTCCAGTTCCTGCTGCATTTCACGTCGTCTCTTGAAATAGAAATACAGTGAGACAAGGAATAGAATTCCGCTTCCAAATGCAAAGATAGCACTCAGGATTTTCCAGACTCTCTTCCCTGACTGCAGTTGTCTTATAATAGCATCTAAAGTGAGTTGGGACAGATAATAAGTAAGGCCAGATTTGGGTGGACCTATCTTAATACCATCATCAGTCAAGGTGATTTCTCCAATACCAGTCAGCGTTGTACCAACAGGCAGCATCCGTTCAATTGTCTGGAATCCTTTGGTTTTGTCACCACTGGCCCACTGAACTAGGGACTCGGCCACAGAGCTGGATACAGGCTCAAACTTGTCATGTATCACTTTAAGTTGAAGGTCTTCTGCAGACAGGGGATCCATCACTTTAACAAGGACACCATTATTATACAGGGAGAATGGAACTGTAGTACAAGCAGAGCTTATTGTTCGCTCTAAGTCATGCCTGCAGGTTAATAAAAAATTGGATTACTACAATTCAGTGAGAATAATAACATAATGGTGACTTGACAATTAGTAGGCCATGTATGTTGACAACAGAGATCTATTTTAGTTTTATTATCTTAACGCTCTACTCCACTATACTCAAAACTGAATGCATTTCACTGCACTGAATTTTGCAAATAATGGTCCACTCAATAAAAATCACTAAAATAAACACTGTAAAATCACAGAGTAGCAGAGATTGTTAAAACCCTGCTAAGTAGGAGACTGTTTGACACATATTCTGTTCGTTAACTAAGATAAATATATCTACAAAAAGGAAACAATAAAAAATCAATACAGTGTACTCTGAGTAGAAAAGGAAAACATATCTATAGTGAAGCATTTCCATAATGGCACAGTCTCTGACAATTCTGCAGAATCTTTTGACTTGGTAAGATATCAAACAGAAACTTGCATGAAAAGGCAAGGACGTGACAGTGTAGTCGTGTCAAATATACATAGAGAAGTGAAAGTGTTGGCTTACATGGCTCAGCCATTTGCTACGAATGTCCTGCTCTAAAGATGAACACCACCAGGAAAGATATTTCCTGTTCCACATCAATCTTCCTGGCTTTACCACCACCTTGAGAAGGGCTTGGAAGTTGGGTACTATTTTCCGATAAGTAAAAAACAAATTGAAGTTCTAGATGGGAGGTGGAGTGGGGTTGAAGGAGTGTGAGTTTTCATAGAAAGAGGTACAAAAGCTTAGTTGCAAGCTGACCACCTTATAAATTATTTCACACATACCACAGCCTTGTTGTTCGACTCCATTCACTTTTATGTTCCCGTGTCTTTATCTGCTGTATAACTCCAGTGACATCTGATACATAAGGACTCCTAATCACTTCACTATTTTTTAAAGGCCTGGCCTCTCCTCTAATGACACCATAAGGTATTGAACGGTTCTCACATGCCATCAAAGTGGACATCAGCTTTGGTCCAATTTCAGTTTCTGTTACATCCTAAACAAATAGTGACAAAAAAGGTAAAGTTTGCATACAGTTGTAAGGGCCAAGTGGCACATCAGACTGCCGCTTATCTCCAGTTTCTGTGGCATGAAGTAACTAGGGGTCTGTCTACTCCCCAATGGATGGGATGCTAGTCCATTGCAGGGTTACCCCCAAGCATTAATTCACCAGTGCCCATGTATAGACCTAGGTGGAGAGAGGCACACTAAATAGCTGTCAAATATATTGCTTCCTAGGACGTTCACTTCATATCCTTGCAAAAAAAAAACATATCCCTGGGTACCCCTGTGGGGATGTGCTCTCAAAAGAAATTGAATATTATAAGTACAATAGGGGTTGGTGTAGCTTTTTAAAAGAGAATTACGATTTTTCCAACCAGTTTAGTTTTAAAGGGCTTTTGTGAAACAACAATAGAGCCCCAAAATTTTTTTCTTGAGTTAAGAAAAGAACGTAACAAATGCCAGAACTTGGTTTAAGAGACCCCGGAAACCTTTAGTAGATATATTTCCACAAGTATTCTTTGTAAAATTAGCCTTTATGCTTAAACGTTACCAGCAAAAGTGAAAATGAGACGTTTTAATAGCATGAATTTGTGAGTTTACCGAAACTGGAGCCATCATGCAACGTGTCATCAAAGGTCATATCAAATCACATTAATGCAAGGAAATCAAAATCCACAGAGTAATATGACTGCAAGCTTTTCTTTCACCTCAACAGGCAAACGTAACTCAATGGTTGAATTATTTACCTCAACGGGCAGAGATTTTGACTCAACGATCAAATTTAATGCCTCAACAGGCAAAGAATGCTGTGAATGATTTGCCTGTGGTACTGAAGTTGCTTTCGACATAAAGCAGGTTGGCTGCACACCTTCCTCTCTTTTCTCCCGAGACCAACAAGCTGCAGTCGGCAGTTTACTCCAAATCGAAGCATTTTTGCCTAACACTTCACTGCTGCTGAATGCACTGAGAAAAAAATGATCTACATGAAGTAGGACTTGATTGATATCTTAGCACCTCCATTCGCGAATCAGCAAAAATTGTTCACATAATAGAGCAGCCAAACACATAAAAATCTCATCTTCCTCGAGAGTCATCATTAAACCATTCATGAACTTGATGACTACATGTACTTCCACAAGCAATTAAAGACATCTGCGTTTCACCTTGTTTATCGTGTCCTTGATTTCTAGCAGAGCGGGACGGCTGTACACAGTTATTACTCAAAATCAATCAATATTTCCACGTGCATTCACAAGCACCCCACAATGCCCGGATATAAAAAATGCAATCGACTGCGCATGTCTCTGATCTTACATCCGACAAATTTTGGCTTTTTCTCACTATTGTAAAGAATAGGCTGCTGCCTCTCTAGGGCTCACCAGCAATAATTATTTCTGGGATTAAACTTTGTTCCTGTTTGTACAAAAAGTTAAAAGAAAGGTTAACATGCTTTTCGCCTCATCTTACTTCGGTGCTGGAACATGACAAAACATTAGAATTCTCTAACTCAAGATGTCATGCAAAGCTGTTAGCCTATGGTAATTTGGTTGATACAGCGATTCTCAAATTCCATGAGCTGGTTTCCTCAATTCCTCAGTTTCCCCTGCCAACAATACCCAAGGCTAAACACACAAGTTTAAAATAACCAGCCTAACCATGGAGATATACTTTTGTGGACTCTCCTTCCTTGACATAGATGGGTGCATTCCATTGGGATGATCCAGGTCAGGATCAGTGATCCAAGATCACTCGTCTTACACTTTATCAAAGAAACAGATGAATCCTTAACCAGAGTGGATTGGTCACTCCAAGATCACTCAGATTGATCACGATTCATCAAAGAAACTGATGAATGCCAGGTCAGTCGATTCATCAAAGCAACCAATGATAACCAGAGTGAATTCATTGGTCCAAGATCACTTGGATTACACTTCATCAAAGAGACCGATAAATCCTTAACCAGATCGAGTGGATTGATCGGTTCCTTTGATGCACCACGATCCGAGTAGTCCTTGAGCCAGATCATCCCAAAGGAACGTTCCTTATATCTAGCGATAGTACACCATCGCGACCCAAAATACCTTTTAACATTAACATTGACATAACCTGACATGTGAACGTTTAGAGATTTAGAGGGCGCATCTTTTCGCAATTCGTCACATAAGGCAAAATTGTGCCTTCTAAATCGGCCCTTACACTTCCGTAGGACAGCCTTTCTCGAAACAGCTGAACTGGCATATCCTTGATCTTGTTCATTGGTTGTGACTTGTTCTGTATTTGTATTTGTGCATTCGCGTCTTGATCTAACATCGTGGTGCCGATTCTCTCCCTCACAAAAGTGAAATTCCCAACATGATTGACTGTTACCGAAAAAAGCTGATCAAAGCATTGTATATTTCAAAACGAAACCAATTAAGGCAGACCACACAAGAATGTTAAAACACGAACCTTCAGACTTCGTATGGCTGTTTCTCTTTTCTTGTATACCGCGTAGAAAATGGCTGACACGGCAGCACTTCCCAGACCGGTACATAGACAATAAAAGTAATCCGACATTTTGGAACCAGATAATAAAACCTAAACTGTGGCTTCAATATTTCGATCTCATACAGTCCATTGCCGTCCACACTTGTCACCAGGTCTACGCAAAGTTAATGGCAAAACTATATGGTTCTTTGTATAATTATTTAAAAACTCCACTGTCTCGTAACCCAAGCTCCCGTAGCACAGTCGGTTAGCGCGTCGTACTTATAAGCAGTGTAGGCGTAATACGCCGAGGGTGCTTAAGTAATGCGAAGGTCGGGGGTTCGAGCCCCCCCGGGAGCAATGGGTACTTCTTTTTTTTTCCTATCCTTTTATTTTCTTTTTCCTTTCTAACTAAGTATTAGAATTTCAAAGTGGCAAAATATTCTTTAATCTTAGATCTATTTAATTATTTTGTATTTATGTTTTTTTTTGTTGCTCCCTTTATGATACATCAATCTCAGTGGAACCTTTTTGCACTCAGATTGTGGAAAGTTCACCAAAACGTTGACTAAATGCAGTGAATTTCCACAAATTGTGGTTGGAATGTAGAACACGAGCTTTTGCTTCAGACAACAAACACTGGCAACGAATGAAACTTTCGCACCAGTTCCAGACCTTCCACGGCCACGACGGCAGCCATGCCAAATTTCAGGTCGAAACCTAGGGCTCCGGTCGAACAGGCGAGCACAGTCTCCCCTATAGATCGTTTTCACGTGACGTCATCACTTTCTAAAATCCAAAACTAAAGAGCCACCAAAGTTTTTATCCTCGTCAGGCATAAGAGGCGGTATATTTATATCTGTTTACAGTTTTACAGCTCAATAACGTGCTTCGTTTGGAATCCAGAGTATTTTGAATTTCAGGGTTATGGAGGTACGTGACACAAGGCTACGATCGAGTTCGTCGAAAAATATACACTTATCTCATGATTTTTAGCCTTTTTAGAAGTTAGAGCATTAGGGAAAGTGCTTATGTAAATGCTCGTTTGATCAGTACTGATAATCAGTCGCCTAGATAGCCAAAGGAAGTTCCAGATGTTCACACTATTTTCTGGCCGCCATATTGGTGTACCACGGAGGTACACCAACATGGCGTTTTCATACTGGGCTCTGTAAATATCTGCGAAACATTTCGACGAATATCTGAAGTTTGGGGGAACGCACAGGCCTAAAACTTGGAGAAGTGTCTTATCTAGTTATCTTCCATAACATCACAATTTCATAGCTTTTTCCAAAGGATGGTTTTCGATTTATTTTTTTATTGCGTGACAGTGAAAACGATCTATAGGCCTAGCGAAAATAGGATGAGCTGTAGAGCTTTTTTGAACTGTTTGTCCTGGATGGAAATTACGCAGAACAACTTAGCCTTGTTAAATAATGGGTAAATTCGACATGTTCAAAGAATGAGAGAGATGGAAGGGCGATCGATGAAGGACGCGATCAGGAACGCGATCGACACGAAACATTCACTGAGGTGGCTAAAGAGGTCGATCCAAAAAACAATGTTAGACCACGAGCAATCGGTTTTTGCTCCTCAAATCCTTCGCGCGATTGGAAAACTTAAAATTATGCCAATTAGGGGAAAAGGTGAGATGGAAAAGACATTTCACCAGGGCCAACTCCTCAGCCACCTTCTTTTCCTTCTTTCTGAGCCCGCGCTTCTCGCCGCTAGATTGTTCTTCTTCATGTATTCGCGTTGCATGCCGGGGTTCGCAGTCTAAACCAAATATTGAAAGAAGATAAGGGATATAACAATTGATGGAAGTAATAAACAATACTATTTGCACGGCGTGACCAAAAAATTGATAACTGACCGGCAATTCAGAATCTTCAGATTGGAAATCCCAGAGATATGACTGTTTTAATGGAATTGCGGGCACTAGGACGAGCAGAAAAGGTGCGATTTTCATCACAGACTACTGAATTCTTTTTTAATTACATTGTGATAATTTACATTAACGTTTTTACTGTAGTAAGCCTTAGCAACGGTAAAATATATTGCTTCCTCAAATGCATTATTGACTAATTGATATAATTACTTGTTTTCTCTATAAACGGAACCTAATGAATTTAGTAAAGGTCTTGTAGCTATCTTAATAACCGTGATTCGGTTCATAATTTCGTGCATTCCTCCGGGTGTTCAAGTAGTTAAATAACTTGTCCATTCCTCTTGCATCGTCTCTATGTCTTGTTCTCTTTTGCTGTCCAACATCAGCAGAATATGTTATATCCCTAATCCCTTGATATCCCGCGGGTTCCTACACCAGGAACACAAAACTTTTATTATTGGCCATATTCATGTACTGAGAAAGGCATACAACTTGTCTAAGACGACTAGCAAGATGAATAAGGGAAAGAATAAGACGGCTAAATGTCCGAGGACCTTACATCTTCATTCGCTTTAAAGACACTTAAAATTAACAGAGTTGCTAAATAAAAATCAGGATCGGAGAAAACACTGAATTGTTGTTAGATATGTTTTTTTAGCTGGGGTAGCAGCGAAATCATCGCGGGCCAAGTAATAATTCTCCTCTTGATGATTCTGAACGACTGGTAGCCGAAAATTTGGGACGAAACGTTGTTTGGATATTTTTACGATTTTATATCTCTGTTTTCTCCTTAATTTTCGTTTTGACTGGGAAAACAATCGAGATAGTATTCAACCACAATTTCAAACACCTCAAGGCTTGTCAAAAGCATTCTGCTCCGCGTCGTATTTTTGAACTCTCTTTTTGGTGTTTGGAGATGTGGTAAGACACCGCTGTTTATCGTGTTTGATATTTTACCAACCTTGTATGCTGGTTCAGCCACAGCTGAGCGGCCTTCCCAAGCTAAATTTTGTGAAAGTTGCCCGCGTATAAAATGAACTTGAAGCACAAGAACTGCGAGAAAACACGCCAAAGAACAACCCACTCTTCGACTGCGGTACATTGTGTTGAAACGCTAAGCGGTTCGAGGCGAAGGAAGTCTGTTTGAAAGCCGAAAACAGTTATGAACGTATATAAATGGACATTCAGAATTAATCTGATCAAAAACAATTATCAAAGACGGAAGGACGCGTTCTATGGGACTTGAAACATGGTGAGGCTAATTTCCTTTATTGCCTTGACAAGAATTATTTATGCGGAATTTTCCGTTATTATTTTTGAGTTTTTTTCTTTTTCCTTTTCTTCAAGCTTATCATAATCCGGATAAAGGCATGTTGAGCAAGGAAATCCCCGGGGAAATTGTTAAACTATTATCATCAACAGAGGATATATTCTTTGCGGGATAAGGATTCACGGTAATTTAAAGCATGAAATCTGTCTAAAACGCGAAAACTAAGAACAAATGATAACAAAATCACGGAAGTGAAAGTTTCAAAAGCTAATTTGTGAATGCTCAACTTGCTGTACAAATTTAAATCATCTTGGTTATACCAGTACTAGCCAGAGATACCTCTGTATCTATCATCAGTTCAATGGTTTCATATTGGTTTTGTGACTCACTTGCGCACTTTCCCAAAGCAATTTGTATTGACAGTGTAATTAATGAAATTCCGAGCTTAGCCAAAGTTTACTCTTCAGTTGAGTCTAGTTTTTACGCACTCATTTCATTTAATTACTCACCCCTTCACTTTCTTTGATCGGTTCAGTTATCGCTAGTAAAACTCAAATGTACTGAAACTGCGCCATAGACGAAAGTTGCACATCACAGCGAGATAGAGAATCCATCCAGTTGTATAAACGGCTTTTTAGTTTTATGATCATTGTCTCTGGAAGTATAACACTCGTTTAGGTCTGATTTGTAACTGAGGGAAAGCTGGGATGAAGGCGAGTATGTTGTTTGTCGTGGTTTCAAAAACGTCCTCTCAACATTCCTGAGTATCTGGTTGATATAACGCTGCTCTCAGTTACCCATGAACATACGTGATTGATGTCGCTTATTGCTGAAATCAGTGGAAATGATAGTAAATGTTTTTAAGGTATAAAACACAGCTTTTCTGTCAAATAAGCTACACTGCTGATTCTGAAAATTTGTAATATTCCCTCTCATCTACCCTCCCTATCAACTTGTATTTCATGCGAAGTTATGAAAAAGCTCCGCAAAAGTTCATCATTCTTTTTATCTCATCTGTTGCCTGATGCAAATGTTTCACGATAGAACTATGTCCATCAACGATGATTTGCAGGAGAAGAGACAGAACTGTAGGACACAAAGTCTTAGGTAACCATCACCATCAGTTAAAGGTCTTGATGAGCAAAAATTACTGCTGTCCAACAAAAGAGCCCGCGAGATGACACGTGGTGTCTTATCTCGTACAAGATCCTGTCACATCTGGGTACGAGACTTTACTCTCAAGTATACTGTTCAATTGTACGTAGTCCCATATTTTGTTATAGCTTTCATTGATTTAAATAGAAACTCTGCAGAATTATAACACAAGTGATACAAAAAGCTACATGCAAGCAATAAACCACGATAAAAGCTAAAATGATTATGAAACGAAAGAAGTGTTGTAGACTAACTGATCGAGGATTTAAAAAGTTTTCAAACAGGAGTAGGGCTAGGGCAAAAAAAGTTCCTAACCTGATGTGCGTGTTAATTATTTTTTTTATTTTTTATCTTTTAGTCCATGATTTCACTTAATACAGTAGCTACCAAACCAGGTCAACTAATACAAAGTTAAGACAGATCGACGACAGACTCCGATATTCAGTGATTTATTTATTTCACTTTATTTAACCATATATCTTTGACATAAAGTACTATAATGAGTTTGTCTATATCTAGGCGTGTCTACATCTTATGTTCTGTTCATGATTGAGGAATTTAGTAGCTATTAGTGTCTCATGCGTTCCATTGTCTGTCGTTACTCAGTATAATAACTGTCGGCTATCGCGTCCCGACTCAAACGTCCAGTGGCTGCCGGCACGTCAGCTGAATCTCTTTGCTGGAGTTGATATCCATTCAGGTAGTTCGCGTGCCTTGTTTCCTCGGGTCCTACAGGGTCCTGTTATAAAATAATGAGAGCATTTAACACTTTTTCAGATTCAAGTCCGCTGTCCGGTGAATTTCTCTTTGCTTGACGAATGTCGTGGCTTCACCAAATCCGACAGCACAACCCAAGTTTTGCTCGTGATTGTAAAGATGTTTTAGACTTTACATGCGATATAAGTCTAAATACAAATTGTCTGGCACTGATTCAGTTTATTTCTAAGTCTCTTAGAGATTTTTAAATTGTATTTTTTAATTTTTTGACGAGGTTTAACTCTACCCGAAATTCATGAAATTAAGATTTGTCAGAATCCGTCACAAATCGTGGTTTTGCTGACAGATAAAACATTACGCTATATAATTGACATAGTACCTGGGAACGTAATGTCTATATGAATAAAGTTGAAGAATTCTGAAATCGAGTGTTTAGATCATCATTCTAATGAATTGTTACAGAAAAGGCACAATGGCTCAGTTGAGTGAACGATTAAACCCAAAAAGGAACAACTACATGTAGTTCCCGGCATCGACCCCCAACAAGAAACTCTAATCTGCCCCCCAACTAAAGCAAAACAGACGACGATGCTTAAGCTTTTGGTAACAAATTATGACGACCAAATTAAACAATTATCTTGCTGCTATTGGTATTTTCTAGTAATAGCCAGTACTACCTTATAGTTGTCGTGGAGTGCAGAATTAAAGGTTCGCTTTCCGCCGACTTTACCCACCGGTCCTTGAGGCGACCCAAGTTGGCAATATACATGTTGAAAACTCAGGCAGAGCAAAAGCAAGCAACAGACTAAAAACCTACCCATGGTTTTCTAATTTGCAAGTGTTCGAAGAAGGATGGAACCTTTGCTCTTTGAAATTGGTCTGATAGCAAAATATATATCTTCAATGACGGTATATAATACCCTTTGAATTCTATAGCATTGCCTGTTTAACAACGTTCTCAAAAGCTTCAAGCGAAAAAATTGAATGCGAGCTCAAACCTGACGCCAGACACACGCGGTGAATCATTTTCATGTTAAATCTGAACCTGAAAACTTTTCCACGTGTCGAGAAATATCCGCCCGCAATTTTCCGTTCCCTGATGTTTATTGTTGTTTTTGTCTGTCTTTTCCAACACAGATGCTCTTTAGCTGTAAGTAAGCAGCCAGTTGACCCAGTGTGAATGCGTAATTTTCACCTAGGAGGGTATGTATTGAATTGAACCGGAATTCTCTTTACGGAAGAAGAAACTAATCACACTTAAGTGGTAAAAACATTATGACAATGAAGATTATCAATCAATTAACACTGTTTATTACCAATTTCAAATAATAAAACGCAACCAGTGTGTTAGCAGAGAGAACAAGTCTCATTTTCGTCCTGAGTGGGGGTGCAAAGATAATTGGGGACATGCTGGTGTGCTTTCCACGTGAAGTCTAGAAATTATCATTTAACAATTTCCGGGTGTGGGTAGTAACTGTCTTGTTTCTAATACGAAGCTTTTATCAGTGCTGTACTAATTAGGGACACTGAAACAGGCAATCAAATATTGTAAATTGATCAGAAACTTGTTAGAAATCCCAATTGGCGGAAGGCTGAACGGAGTTGCCTCTTTATGCTTTACAAAGCGTGGAGGAGTTAAATTTGGGACACAAATTCCTCTATAGCGGCAGGGAAAATATTCTACAAATGTTGCTGAGTTTTCAAAATTGAATAGGCTCATTACACCTGTTTCAACAATAAAAACAATCAGTCACTATCGTTTCGAGATTACAGAGTGATCTTAAATGTGGAGTATTGAGCTTGTACAAAGACAATGATCAAAAATGGTTGTGAGATTGTAAAATAAATATCTAAGAAAACTCTGAAAACTTGGTAAATCTTGTCATAACCAAGCTACTGGTGAAACAATTTAGACATTTCAATGGCATTTCATTTGATACATCAAGTCTAGAGGTTCTACTCCTCTTCAAGCAAAACAGTACAAACAGTTTTGCTACTTTGGTTATTAGAACGTTTTTAAATTAAAAAGGTCTTTGGGAAAGTAATGATTCATTTGAATATTCAATCTATTTCATTTGCATAAAATTTTAATTTTGTTTCACGTGTTTGTTCAATAACATTACTCTAGTTTGTATCTTGAAGTTATCTCAGAGGACATTCCCGCATATGTATCAAAAGAAATTCACAAATAAAAAAATGAAATGAAGTTTTCCTATCGCTTCTGTTCTTGTATTCAGTGAAATCCCGATTTTTCGAACCTCCACGGAAGACAAAAATTGGTTTGAAAAATCGTGCAGTGCGTGAAATCAAGGGGAAAGGTACAGTGTTCACCTGAGGGAAAGAAACCGACTTTTGGTTTCGAGTTTTCGGGAGGTTTGAAAAACTTGGGATTCCACTTAACTTCCATTCATGTAGTACATCGATTAACGTTAGCAGAATAGGCAATTTCCGAGGTACCATTTGCCTCGGTGTCAAAACGAGACCACGTGCGAAACCATTCACATGAAAATGAGTTTCGCCCACAGGTTTATTTTCATGCAAATCAAAGTCATTTTCGTAAGAAAGGTTTTGCACGAACACTCGTTCTGAAACAGAGGCACAATGGCCTATTGAGAACTAACTGCAAGCAAGCTAAATTCAGCCTTACTAAAGTTTTTTCCTGGCTAACAGAGCTCTGGGTAGCCCGTTAACGGCTAACTTCCAGTAATGAGACTAATGGACACGATATAAAATTTAAAAAATCGGCTTCATCTGAATTTTGCCTGATGATTTTGGTTTTTTCAATTTGTGTATTCCATGCAGTGGTGTTAGTGTTTTATTGTCCTATTCGTTTGTTCCTGTGTTTTATCCTTCCTTAAACATCCCTTTTGTCATTCAAAGTGAGTATAGTCAGTGCTTTTAAAGGAGCGACGTCATCCTCTTAAAAGATGACAACTGCTTATTACAGGCGAAGTCACCGAGCGATTTGATATCCCAGACTATGATAATAAACGCTTATATGACTGTAATTTATAGTTATCGTCATGCACTTGGTCGCCAGGTTATCGGTATTTCCTTCACAAATATTGTTTTTACTGCATGGGTCATGCAGATATCTGATTAATTCAATTTATATTATGTGGTCGTGTTGTTTTTATTTTTTTGGGTTTATAACAGGAAAAAAACTCACTACATAGGACGTGTTTTTATTACTTCTCATGTCTTTTTAATTAATACTGTTTAAATTACATTTTCCTGAAAGTTTAATCCGTTTTCCTTATTTCATTTTTGTTTTTCTGTACGAGAACATGAAAGAAAGCCAGTCTTATATTTTACCTAGGGGGATGCACAACAAAAATAGCAACAGCGTAACCGACCATCACATGATTTTTTAACAAAAGCCTGCCACAGCGACATCATTTTTTAATAAAATTCAAGCTTAATTCTATTTACATTACTTGCTGAGGTCGACATGGAGACTGGAATAAAAATAGTGGAAGAAACAGAATATATAACTGATTGCAAGTTTATCGGCAGGTAATTTTTCAAAAATGAAAAAGCTTGAAGTTGTACAAATAACTTTCGATGAGATTTCCTGTGCACAAGAAAGAAAACGTCGAAAACTAACCAGTCGTTAAAATGAAAATAAATCAACTTTTGTAATCAATTACTGCTTGCTTTAATTTATTCTTCAATATTACTTATTATCCCGTCAATTTTTTGCAATGGGTTATCGCTGAGAGGACAGTTAGTTGAAGTTGTTGACACAGCTAAGTGCACCCACTGAAAGCGAGGTTTGAAGCTCCGTTGGAGAACTTTTTCAGGTGGTTATGTCTCATGCCGTTTTTCATCATGCCCTTGCAGTTGTCTGTCTGTATCACACTTTTTCTTTCTTTTTTTTGGCGTGCGATTACAGTAAACATTTCTCTCGACAGGTGCGCGCCGAACAAAGGCGCAGCGTTCATTTGCAAACATGGGTTCAGCCAGTCTTAATTACAAACTCACTCACGCTCTGAGAATTAAAACGCAATGAAATTTTATTTCAGCTGAAAATCACCGTGACAGTGAGGAAAACCTAACAAAGCTTCTCTCCAAGACTTTTAACTTAAAGGTGAGTGATTACAGATTCGAATCATGGCGTTTACGTGTAAAATTTGTCAGTGTCTGGTCGTGCAATTTTGATATAAATACTTGCCAGTTCCCGCCAACCATAGAAGCTAAACTTGTCTCTATTTCCATCCAAACACAAACGGAAAAAACTCATTTGGTTATTTATTCAGCAACAATTCTCCACATCAGAAAAGGCATCATTTTATATGCCCGAAAAATGCGAAAATAATTATCAAAGTTAATAAGGGCACCAAACGGTACAATATATTTTAAGAAAGCGTAGAGCAGTTTGATTGAGTTTGGATTCGAGTGACTAGCTGTGATTAGTGAGCACGCTAGAGAAACCGGAATGTAATAGACGTTATGGCAATTTCTTTTGCTATTTCGTATTACTTAATAGTGGGAAGGGGAAAACAGAATGATGGTTTGTAATTCTACTGAACAAAACATTTTATTGCACTATATATAAGTACTCCTTATGTGAATACATCAACAAAAGAGATCTTGAGGTTAATTGTCTTTTCCTTCGTTGGGAAGGAAAATATGTAAGGAAAATATGTAGAACTAAAAGAATATGTCTCGTTAAGGTTAGCAGTGGGCCATTACAACAAACATAAAAGCGAAAAAAAAGTGTTATGCAAAACATCCAACAATTTTCACACCACGCGCAGATTTAATGCTCACAACGGTGAGTCCTGTATGGGCAAGGAATCGACAACACCAGCCCTCGGTTGGAGAACATAATTTTTTTTTGTTCCCTCCTAGCGTTTCTATTAATAACACTGTCTTCCAGTTTTGTCGCCTTGTCACCATTCCCCCCCAAATGTGATCTTGCAATTTTAGTAAATTAATTCAAAGCCTTAGTTGAGTTATCATGCTTCAGGCATTAGGCATATAGTTTGACCAAATGACTGATGGCAATGAGAACTACCTCGCAGAAAACGAGCACCTTTAAATTATTTATAAGTGAAGATGTTAAAGTTGATAAACTAGCAAAATGCACATATTTATGTGGCGCAGGATTTTCTCAAATGAAAAGCAATAAAAAGAACTGTAATCTGGGAACAGGAAATGGCTAAATTAAGAACTGAAAATGTCCTTAATCATAATTATTTATGATATTAGATGCGCAGATAAACGGTTTCATGGATGAAACACCGACCTCATACAGAAAACGAGTCTAACTTATTTTATTGTAAATATATCAAGTTATTGAGAAACGTCTTGCTTTTTTTAAGAGCAAAAATGCTCTATAATTTAGTTTATTGTGAGGCCAAAACTGACCTTTTCAAGCTTAATTTCGAATCTTCAACCGACCACCGTAATTCAGTTACAGAACTCCTCTTCAATCACTAGTGGGTTAATGTATTTAAACTCGATGATAGATAGTCTATGGACGAAACAATTCAAGTCGCGAATTATCATGCAATCTTGCGTTGTCATGATCATGATAAAAGCAGTTTTTTTTTGGCCAACAATTTATCTCTAGACATATATCAAAAAGAGAGTTTCTGGAAATGAATTTTAACCTTCGCCTATGACAACAGCGATCAAACCGTGGCAGATCAAACTGATGGTTTTAATTAAGTGAAGCGCTTGATGTTTTAGTTTGCAAGCGGCCTTTGTATTTCTCAGTACGTTGTTGAAAGAACAGAAGTGCTCGCAGAAATAGGTGTAAACTGCGTCAAAAGCTGCAAAAAGCAAAATTAAAATGTATCGTAGTTTTCTGGAAAAGGCAATTTCAAATGCATGACGACCTACTAATAATGTGCAAATTTCTTTTTCTTTTAGACATTAATTTAAAGGTCGATCGCCAATAAACACGAATAAAATTTAGGTTGTCACAAAGTTTCTTCGCGAAACGATTATACATTACATAAATCTTGGGAATGTTTTTAAGCCGGCCAAGAGGTGCAAAAAATAAACTTTTTTAAGTTAGTGTGAGGGAAACACATTAGACATCACGATGAAATGATGAAATGATCATTTGTTATATTACCATCTAGCTATTATATGAGTGTTAATTTATACGGTTTTTCATGTCATAAATTGAAACCTGGCTATATCTTATGATGTTGACCCAAGGTCATTAACTCCAGCACTCAATATCCGATGAGATAAACATAAAACAAGTATTAGTGCTTTAAATGCCAGTTGAGTAAGAATCGCCTCAAATGGTGAAGAAAATGTCAGCTTTTGAAATCGTGTCGACTGCTTTGCCTTGGACGATGTTCGTGTCTTACAACAAAAAGTGCTTTTCAATACAACTTAATGACGTATAATTTCAACACATTAGATGGTGTACTTAAGATCTAATGATGTTGTTTTCCGAAGTTAAAATACAAACATGCACTTTGCCAGTAATTGAAAGACGCCGTAAATTGGCAGCTTTTCACTACAGGATAATACAGACGTACTTCAACTGAGATAGAAGAAAAAGAACTGAGAATGATCCATCGGCCCTCACAGCTGCCTGAAGATACTGAGAGTTAAAAAGTCAGTATTCAAATATGGTAATTTTCCTGGACTACATTTTTAAAAACCGCCAACATGTTTACACTTTTTAGCATTTGCTTCGAGACAGTTAATTTTGTTTTGCTTTTTACCTTAATTAAAGGAGCACCAACAGAACTATGGAGTCAGATTTCAAGGGAATACGAGAAAAGCGACAGAAATGCGCCGAAGAGGTGAAACAAGCTTGGCAATCAGAGAAGGACGAGGCCTCCCGAGTGATTCAAGACTTTGGCTCATACACCACGCTACACGGCTTTCATTTCGTGTTTGATTCAGCTTCCAGAATACGCAGAATTATTTGGTTCACGCTGATACTTCTGGGCGTAATTTTCCTCTTCTTCCAGTTCCGAGACAACTGGAGGAAACTTCGCAACAACCAGAGCGTCATAGGCAAAGATCTTGAACACAGCCAAAAGATGCTATACCCAGCCATAACTATTTGTAACCAAAACATGATGCGAAGAAGCAAAATCATGGGCACGGACGCGCAGACATTTCTCGACCAACAAGATCATGTGAAGTTTAAGTACTCCGGCGAAAACCTGCTGGATAAGGAGACGAGCCCGGACTTCAATATTGAAGAAAGTGTGATAAAAAACAGTCATAATCTAACTGAGATGTTGAAGACATGCGAGTGGCAGAAAGTGCCTTGCAGCGCTGCTAACTTCACCTCCTTTGTATCTTTCATGGTGAGATTAACTAATCATTACCCAGTCATAGGCACGTAATGCGTGCATACCCTAATTACATTGAAAGCAATGCTAAAATATTGAACGCTGCGTTATCCACCCATTGCCTCCTCTAGTTTCTTAAACCCAGTGACTCTATCGATACATTCGGCAATGAGTGGCTATCAAAAAGTATATTGAAATCTTGATTTTGGATTTTAAAATAATAATAGTTTTCCTATGTTTCAGCGAGGTGTTTGCCACACGTTCAATTCTGGTCAGGATGGCCATCGCGATCTTTATGCAACCACAGCAGGAAAAATACAAGCCTTGTCTCTTTATTTGGATGCACAGCCCGAGGAGTATTATGGTCCATATAGCTATGACGCAACAGGTTTTAAGATTCTAGTTCATGATCAGAGAGAGTTGTACCCTAACATTGAAGATTTAGCTTTGGACGTCACACCTGGATTCACTACTAATATACGCGTGCGCAGGAGCAAGGTTAGTAAGGCTTAAAAACAACAACTCTATTTTTCGCATTATAACTATAGATATTATAACATTTTTGGTTTATTTAATTTATGTAATATGTTTTAGATGAGGTAACGGGCATGGTCTTGTTTGAATGAGACTGGAGGCTAAATGAACCGATAGGTGTCATAGGTTTTCGAGTTAGACTCCAGCCTAGTTATGTCTCACTGTAGGACAGGAGAGATAAACGAAGAATTTGCAGTTTACATTTCGGTTTAAGGGAGAAAAAAAGAACAAAAATTAGCTTGGTCTGACAGTAAACAATGTTTTATTTGTTTTTCTTTGAAAAAGCAAATACACTAAGTTCTTTGTAATGGTTGGAAGTTCTTTCCAAAGATCTATTGCCTGACATAGTTCCTTTAAACCTCAATCAATAGTTGCCTCATAAAGTGTAACAAAAGAAATGTGATAACCTCAGCGAACAGGCGTCTCTCTTCGCGAGCTTCTCGCGCTCGAGAAACACGTCTGAGAATCGAGCAGAAATTATCCATTATGATGACTAGCCTTTCAATGATACAGATATTGTTTTCGTGTGGCTGATGTTCGGTTTTGTAATTTCCTTTGATTACAGCTCATCAGCCTCCCTACGCCATTCAAGTCCAACTGTGGTGAAAGGAATCTGACAAGTTTCAAGGAGTATTCGGAATATGCGTGTCTTACCGAGTGTTACACCAATATAACTGTGCGAGAATGCGGCTGCCGTGTGTTATCGATGCCCTCTGTTGGTAAGAAATACCGTCAAACACGATATGATATACAAAGTAGGAATACGAGTGGCAGGGAATATTCAGGGATCTTAACTTACGCCACCACGCCTAATTAACACAAACACAACTCAAAATAGCTTGCATTTCGGAATGGGAAAGTTAAACTCGAAAATTAAACATGGAATACTGTACTCAGTTGCAGCGCCCGACTAACGGACCTGCTCCTTTCTATATGGAGAGCTCCTGGTTTTTGTTTGTATGTTTGTTCTTTTTTTCTTTTTTTGTATTTTATTTTTGCTGAACACAAAACACTACCTGAACTACGCTGAGACATTACAGAACTACGCCAAATTACCAACACCACTAGTAGCATGTTGATATGTAGAAACAAAAAGAACAATCCCACTGACCTTAAAAAAAGATGACTATGATATCGACAGTTACTTTTCCATCAGTTAAAGAAGGGAGAGGTCCCATTTGTTAATTAACTGAGTTTTGATATTTTAACAGGTGTTAACGAAACTAGATTCTGCACAGCAAAAGAGATCTTCAAATGTGTCTTCCCCATATTCAGTAAGTGAACAACTTGAATTTAATTTTGATGTAAAACTGAGCAGTCGTTTGTTACAGATGATGTTGACACACTTGTTTTCATCTCTAGGCGATTTTAACCCCAGTAACTGTGACTGCCCGGTGCCGTGTACAAAGGTTACCTATCGTGTCCAGGCTTCCATGGCATACGCGCCGTCAAGTCACGTGTGGGACACACTATTTCCTTTGTTCAACTTGTCATCGAATGACACCGACAAAGTCACCGAGTACCAAAACTACATCAGGTAACAAACACAAATGCGCCTCCGTTAGTACGAAACTGGCCAGGGGAGGGCACGAGGGGAGAACTCCCATCTAAAAACGACAGGAGTGCTCGTCGGAAATTTTTTAAAGAATCTCTAAGAGGTACCATGATCCTGTTTTGTGGGCGTGGCTTGAATTGTTTTCGCCCCTAAGAGGAACCAACGGCCTTATGCGCCACTTAAGCACGAAGAGGGTTATGAATGTATGTTATGTAAGAGGAACCAATTTTAAAACAACACATCATCTCCTGTCATCGTATTGTTTTCGGTTGGTTTAGAGCTCAAGTGTTTTGCATCAAAACGTTCTCTCCTTGTTCAGGAGTGCGCTGCTTATTCGAGGGCGCCGCTGTCCAATGCAGTGGTTATTCGTTGTGGTGCTTATTCCGTAAAGGCGGTGATGAGTCTAATGAGGTTTGCTGAATATTTCTAACCATTCATGAACGTCAACAGTATACTGTTTACATTTTCACAGGAACGAAAAATGTTACGAAATAGCCAAAAATTTTCATATTCTCTGCACTTATTTGAATGTTACCTACAGCACTTTTTTGTCTCGTTACATTAGGCAAAGAATGGTACAAGTGCATATTTACTACGAAACTCTGGACACGGAAATAACAGAAGAAAAACCGGCATACGACCTCAACGATTTCGGATGTAAGTATTGTCATCTTGGAAGTAGTTACACAAAAAGACAGGTAACGCCTGAAAGGCATTCGAGTTTATGGCCTGGCCCAGTGAAGATCATACATCCCCGAGTTGTAAATGTACTTGTCGATATTTGAATTAAAGTTATTTTGTTAATGACACTTAAAATTGAATTTTCTAGCTATTATTGTGGAAAATAGCTCGGTCTATTTGGAAAACCATTTGACAGTAAATAAGAAACGTAACTGTTATTTATTGACCTAGTGAGCTTCCTGTATGGGATAATGATTTCATAACTGTATAGAGCTCTCTTGCACTATTGAATTCTCCTTTTATTCGCCTCTATACAAAACAGCTACATAGAAGAACTTACAGACCTTGAGAGGATGCAAACGTTTCTCTCGATTTCGCCTTCATTCACAGAGGCTCAGACTTTAGGGGAGGTAACTTCTACAGAGGAGATAGATTCAGTAGTAGATCTAGAGGTACTTCAAACTGGTGGAGCTGGGGAATGCAAATGAAAATTGGCCCTTCAGTACTAATTTTGTCCCCAGGGTGAGGCTGGATTCTTTCATGTGCGAACAAGTCGGCACTCTCTTACACCAATAACGGGGAGGGGAGGCGAGGAATAAAGATTTCAACCATTCGAGTCCTCTGTTCAGCAAAAAGGGGAAGTGGGGATTGGGGAGGGGGAGGCACTTAAAACCCAATTCGACTTGATCCAAACGGAGATAAATAAGAGAAGGATTTCTAAACTTTAACGCTTCATTTGCTTTTCCTTTCAGCGGATGTTGGAGGCAACATGGGATTGTTCCTTGGTTGCAGTCTGTTGACGCTGTGTGAATTCGTCGATCTCATTATAATCATGTGTCTCCGCTGTTGGCGAAAAAGGAATGCAGTGGATCTTAAAGGAGATCAATTTCAATAAACTTTTGTTTTCAGTATTTAGGATTGTCTCATAACAAACACAGAACGCGGCGTAGACATAATTCGCGAACGAGCAAGCAAGTTTAACATGTCCATGACCAAGCACGTTTTGTTGTTTACTTTCGCTCGTAGGTTCGTGTCTCTGCATTTCTAAAGAACCTTGAACAGGTTACTCATTTTATTACCTCTAGTATTTGACGCTTATCGCTTCATGCTGGAATTGGCGAAGGTTAGAAACTGTAGAGTCTGAAATGCTCATACTACAAACTGCATATCCAATCATTATTGATCCTAGAGCGTTAAGCCTGGTTTACACTAGCGACATAACGACATAACGACATAAGGAAAAGATCAGTTTTATCTTTTTGTCGTTATGTTCATGCTGTTATGTTGCTATTATGTCATTATGTCTACATGTTCACATTACAAATATAACGTCCTTTTTAGGTCGAGATAACGTCCTTTTTATGTCGTTCATGACGATGTCGTTATGTCACTAGCGTGAACCAGGCTTAAGAGAAAATTGTCCGTTTCAAAGGAAGATTAGTGTGTATTACAAGCAGTGAATTCATGTCCCTCCATTTTAGACATTAAGAAGTACCTCAGCAAGAAAAGCAAGAGGAAAAAAATTCCGCGTAAGATCTTGCGCCAGACACAAAACGCCGCAATTTTTCTTGCGCGGCCATTTTTCTTATCATTTCTTTTTTAAGCGAGGGACTACCCGTGGTAGAGAGCTTAGAAATATCTGCTGTACAGAGTGTCTTGCTATCTAGGCCGGTGGGAGACAGGTAGTTAAGGAGCGGCACTTTTTTTGTTTCTTCCTATCAATTCGATCACACTAATGATTTGTTAGAACACAATAAAGGTTTTGCACATACAGCATCGACAAATATTGAGCGATTAAATTATAACAAATGGTTATCAAGAAAGACGTATAATGAAAGTTGTATTGTAAATAAACCGTGAAAATTTTACCAGGCTTATGTTTCAATTGGTTGGGTTTGCGACAACACTGTTGGGTCTCTTTTGGGGGGAGTTTACACGACGAGTTGGTCCCCATGACCTGTTGCAGGGAAAGTTCATCTATTGTAAGGCCTAGTTCACAAAAGCGACAAAACGACATACCCGTAGTAAGTCATACTGATTGACAACGCAGGAGAATCTTAGCGAGCGAGTGCACTTTGATTGGGCGAGCACAAGAAGGGAAGGCTTGCGGAGAGTGAAAAAAGAAGAGCCCTGTGGAGTAAGAATGGCTCATTCTCTCGTCCCAAACCTCTAGGTTTTACGGCACCGAAATGGAGCCCTGAAACACGAACTAAAGTATCCAGTGGTCGCCAAGCAGTGGAAGGGAAGACCAGAGTAACAGGCAGCTGTAGTTATTAAAGGAGCTCAGTCACAGCATTTTGAGTTATTTTGGCCACGTACTAAATTACCTTTCAATTGAAGGAAACCTGAAAAAAGTATTTTACTAAGATAGAAAAAGACCAAAGAGGTAATAATAAACCATAAAGGAACAAGGATGGTCAAGGATGGAGAAGATTGACACGAATTAGAAAACGAAGAACTTGAAAAATTTAGGTTTAACTTTTCAAGATGCGCAAGCCGTGACGTACATGTAGCTTCTTTAACGTTGGGAAACTAACAGTAGCCTAAACAAATTCTCCACCTTTCCCAGATCAATTTCCCGAACAAACACAACGTAAATTAGTTTCTATAAAAATTTTTATTGAATTCTCATTGCAGCTGAGTTTGGTAAGATCACAGGCCGTATAAATTATCATGTCAATGTTGATTCACAACTTATTTGCGTTTCATTGTCTCAATATTACTGGTCATTCATAAAATACATTATCGGATAAAAAATGAGCATGTTTTTCTGACATTAACTAGGACCCATTGACACCAGGTACATCAGGATTAAAACGTTGAAATTCGTGACTTAAAACCAGTCTAACTTAAACACTTTTTTTCAAGTAAGCTTTGGCGTGATTGCACTATAGATCATACTTGTGTACCATAGTGTAAACGATTAGTTTTTTTTTCTTTTTTTTTTTTTTCAATTAACTTTATTTAACACTAACAGACCAAGAAAAAGTAAGAAAAAAAAAAAAAAAAAAAANTTTTTTTTTTTTTTTTTTTTTGTTATTTATAAAAAAAAAAAAATAGGTCACAGAAATTGTAACCCACTCGTTGTACGTCGGGTGATGCAAATACACAAAATGATTGATTCAACATTTCTTGTCCCACCCTAAATGGTAAAAAGGGTACCTTAAAATAGAAGATTTTCAGTATGCTCCTTGATCTGAAGCCACGCAGTTGAGGCTTACAAATTTGTAAAATGAGCGGCACCTATAGCAGGATGACTGTATATAATCTGTAGATAATCTCGGGGTTTTTCATTCAGACCTTTTTGACAATAGCGGATACTTCAGGATTAAATGCTATGATTACTTCGGCTCATTTATAAAGCTCAGTTAACATAACAGTTGATTTGTGACTGTCGATACAGTACGTACGTACGCACTTACAGTATGTCAAGATATGCATCAGCAGCTCTTATCACAGTGAGTATTTCACAATCGACTGACAGACACGTAAAGCTGGTCTTGTTCACGTAAGTGTATGAAATAAGACAACAGTTACTAACATAATACACTGTTAGTTTAAATTCGACCTTCACATGCTTCTTAAGTTTCTCCTTGCGACGTCGCTGTTTGTTTCTTGACAGAACAGGTTTGATCGTTTGTGACTGCAGTTAAAGCAGATGTGTTTGACGATACACCAGAAACATTCAACCTGCTGTTATCTGTCACACTCTCTTCACATTCCACTGCGTTAGTGGCGTGATTTTCGGTGTCTTTCGATGATAGGTTGTCACGCAATGGCACACCATTTGACAAATGTGACTTACCATCATGCTCACTTCCGTTAACGTGCCACTTCACTTCCGGTGCATTACAAGGGCCTAAACTTGAACTTCTCTCCGAATTTGAATCAATTTTTTCAGCCAAGCGGCATATACTTCCGCTTCCTGTTAAACGTACTTCCGTTTCTTTGAAATCAAACAGTTGGTCGTTCCCTTGATTTTGAGGCTGCTCATGTGATACGTCACTCGTACCAGTCTCTAACGTTTTGGTGCAGGTAGGTTTTCGATGTTGTTTTTCATGTTCTCTGCATGGAAGGTGCTTCGTAAGACATATTCTCTGATTGAAAGTTTTGCTGCAAGTGTCGCATTTGTAGGGCTTGTCATCTGAATGAATGTAACTGTGCTCTTGTAAATGATGTTTCCGTTTGAACGCTTTCCCACAAACCTACAACAAATAATTAACATTTATTGCACAAGGTTGACCAAATTACCGTGATTTGTCACTGGCAAGCAGATCTATTATATGCCGAGGCCAAAGGCCTGCAGTTATTTGCAGGTCACGTGGTTGGTTCTCAGCCAATGAAGAGGGCGGAAAATGCACGGAATGAAAATATGCCTTGGTTATCATCAGAGATTATAATCTGCTAGATTGAATGGCAATCAGTAAGGCCCAATGGACAAACCTGTGGAAGTCAAGAGTTTGCGTAGGGTACACAAGTTGTGTTATTCGGTGAGTAAACCAGTTGTAAGTTCACAGAGGGGTAGGGGGACATAAAAGGGAGCAAAGCAAAGATGGGCACTTTCATTATAATAACACGAAGGAGGCTCTAGGGTGAATGCGTGCTCTTTCTTGCTCTAACAAGGAGGTATAAGGGGGCTCCACCGAGGATATTTCTCTCCTCTCCTCTGCCTTCATTGGTGACCGTGAATTGCCCGACAAAACATTGGGGGGGGGGGAAGGGACAAGAGGGGTTGTGGGTGTTACCTGACATGCGTAAGGTCTGTCGTTAGCAGAGCTGCTCTTTTTACTGGATTGGTTGGTCTGAGCTTGAGTTGATTTTTGTGGTGTATTCTGGGAATGCTGTCTTGTCACATGTTGTTTAAGTCCGCTGCTTTTCCTGAATGATGATTGACACTGTGAACATTTAAAGGGTTTCTCATCTGAAACATAACACAAAGATGATGATGATTAGCTCTCTCTTAACTGCGTGCCTGCTTTTGACACCATCAAGCAATGTTTATGTGCATAACGATAATTATTCTTCTCTAGGCGCTTGTTTTCAGGTACATGTATGTCAAGGGCTGTGCCCTAAAAGTGCCCAGGTGCCACAGGTGACTAACTTTTGCCTTTGGGCGACTGGGAAAACTTACTTTTTTCATAGAAACTTAAGTATTGGGCACCCAGGTTTTCAGGTTTAGGAACCTTTGGGCTCCTCATAATTTTTCTTAGACCACAGCCTTGATGTCACATGATACATTCTCAACCAATTGATAAAAGGCATTTCAGTTGCAGCAAGGTATAACAAAATTGCCACTAATGATCAGTGTTGTGATTCCCATAACATGTACATCTGGCTATCCATTACCATTTCAGAGAGAAATTCATGGTGTTGGAAAGTCTACGACAAATCCTGGTTCTTTCACTGTCAGGTCATAAAAGCATTTTGTTGAAGACCTCTGAAGGGCCCATAAACCATACTCAGCAGCAACAGGTGTTACTAGTAACAGCCTGACAGCCGCGGATGTGTCACTACCTGTCGGTGTTTGCTGGCTAACCTGGAATGGACTGAGCATCTTTTTTGTCATCACCCTTCAAACATTCTGTAGCGGCTTCTTTTGAAATGTTCATTTTGTCATCTGCAATTAAGATTATGACAAAGTTTCTAGATGGTATTCAGCATTGTTGTGGTTATTCATCATAAGCAACAGTGCATAATTCAGCTTACAGCTGTAATGTGTTCCACTCACCTAAATGGTGAACAGCCTTCATATGATCGAGGAGCTGCTCTTTCTCCACAAACATAACAGCGCACAAACAACACTTCCGCAGACCCACTAAATTACCAACATGGATTAAGGGTGCTTCGTTGACATAATCTTCCACACTTTGAAAACTCTCCTTCTTTTTCCGTTTTCTTTTCCTTATAACAGTCTTAGTTTTAGTAATTTCCTGATGTGAATTGTTTTTATTTGACTGTACATGCACCCTTTGCCCTGAAAGTCTTATCTGGTCAGGGTCCACCCAGTCTTCTCTGTAAGCCACCTTCTTGGATTTTAAACTTCTTATTCGTGCACTGATTCTCTCAGGGGGCAGCGGTGTCGAGGAAGCTTTACAACTATTATCTTCTTGCTGTTCGGATTTTCTTATATTACTTCTCAGTTTTAAGTCACTGTTTTGTCCCTGTGTATTTTTTTCTGTTGAAGAGTGTAGACAGAACGCATCATCCTTTGACCCATTAACACTGGTGTCGCTGGTATCGTGTTTTCTTCTGTGGACAAAAGAATTCTTCAAGATTGATATCAACACACAGACTCCCCTGACACTTACTTTACTGTTTCCAACAATTGATCTTGTTATATAGCTGGTGTTTTTCCCGCTACAGCGCGCCCATTCATTGGCTAGTTCTTGGTCACATGACATCTAACAATGAAACTGTTTCCCACCAAATGCCATGTGCAGGCAACATTGCAAAAACTATGAAGTCAAACGGGAAACAGTTCACTGTTACCTGCGAGATGTTGACCGCTGTTGCACATCATTTGTCAAATATAAAGTGATTATTTGTTTTCGACCGGTTTGACCCATTTGTTTTGCTATACCCTTAAAAAAGTAGCCACTTCAACTTGGTAGCAAAACAAGGAAAAGGGTGATGTTACTAGATTGAGACCCTGGTTGATGCTAGTTATTCCCTACTTTATTTTGCCACAATATTATTTATTGCTGCCGATAGGCAGCCTTCATATTCTTGAAAGCATCCAAGAAGTTTCGTTCGATCGATCAATGGTTCGGATAGAGAATTAACCTATCAGCAATCCACTTTAAAATACGAGCCAGCAGCCAATCAGCAGTTCCCTTATAATCGATGAAACTCACATGTGCTCCGTTTTGACGTTTCTCATGTTTCACAAGAAAGATAGAGCGTTTGCGATCTATTCAGGTGAGTTTTACACCTCGTTTGTTCTCTTTGATCGTGCTTTCCATGTTGTTTTAGAAATAAATTAGTTATATTTCTGTTGAAGTTCCAATTGTCATATTTACATACAAACACGCTACTAACTGCAGCACTCACTTCTCAATGAGAGCCCCTAGTTACTAAAAATAAATGATGTTGGAGCAAAATGAGAAAGAACCTTTACCTCTTGGTCTTTGGAACACCTTGCTGAGAATCAGTTTCTTCTTCATCCTAAACATATTCATTGAACACAAATGCATGAACAAGTCTGAAAAATTTTACGCACAGATCTGTTGATATTTTAGGCAATCAATACTCTAGATTAGCTAATTTAATCTTCTTTGCAGTCTGAAACATTGTAGAGAGGTACCATACACAAAATAGACAAAGATGGTGTTTGTTGTGATTGTTGTTGTGTAAATGTTGTTGTCATTACAACTGTTATATTGTTACTATATTGACATAACCTTTCTTAAAAATTAAAAAAAAGGTTTATGTCAATATAGTAACAATATAACATTTTTTAAAAAAAACTGTGGGAGGCACAGTGGCCTCATGGTTAGTGCGCTCGTTCCCCGGGCAACAGTCTAGGTTCAAGCCCTGGCTGGGGACACTGTGTTGTGTTCTTGGGCAAGACACTTCACACTCACAGTGCCTCTCTTCACCCAGGAGTATAAAAGGGTACCGGTGAATTGTTGGGGAAGCCTAACAAATTGCAGGGGAGTGACCTGCAATGGACTAGCATCCCGTCTAGGGGGAGTAGAAATACTCCTAGCCGCTTCATGCTACAGAAACCAGGATAAGCTCCGGCAGCTCTGAGCCATTTGGCTACAAGGCTTCACTTTTTTTTTTAAGTTACAGTTTAAAAACTGTACAAACAAGACTCTACAAACAAGCAAACTTATAACATAACTAAAGCAAAGTGCGCGCGATTGGTTAATTTAGCGTTTACTATTTGCCCATGGGTGTACGTTGCTGACGTGTGTGCTAATGTTTACAAAGCAAATCTTTTGACAGACATTGTTTCC